TACCAAAAAAGCTTTGGTGCCTGATTAATCTGTATGGACAGGACCTGTACTGCATGAGGGGGTCTTGAGGATGCTGCAGGAAGGTTGAGTGTAAAACTGGGCAATATCGGGCACTCCTGTGACTCAAGATTGCAATTCTGAGCAAAATGCTCAGTGTGTCCTAGTCTGGAGTCAACTGGAAGCTTGGAGACAAGGGCCCATGGGAAGGGGATGGTAGGTGCTGAGAAGGGTTGGAGGACTCAGGTGGGCATGCGAGCAAAGATGGAGCGTGTAAGGCCAGAGCAAACACCAGCTGCAAATGTCCCCTGGAAGGGCCCCAGTACACTAGGCTAAATTGTGGAGGAATGTGCTAGTGTGAGGCCCAGCATCTAGGGAAGCTTCACAGAAGCTGTTCTCTCTCAGCCAGGGTTAGCAATTGGGAAAAAAGGGTTGAAAGGATTCCAGAAGATAAGACCGGGTGATGGCGCTCACTAGAGGCCAAGCAAGCGAGATTGCTGTGATGGGCAGTGAGGGTCCTGGGCCAGCCTGGATCTGTGGTGAAAGCAACACAGGACAACTACCGAGACTATGGCTAGGCTCAGGTAGCCAAAGGGGTAAGAGCCGGAAACAGGAAGGTGAAGTTGGCCATTTTTTTGACTGTCAGGATCTTATTTATTTCCAGGACAGAACCAGGTCTCAGACTTGGAGGCCATCAAGTGAAGTGGAGGAAGGACCCGACAGCTTTACAGTTGTACACAAGAAATACTCTATAAACCTTGCCCTACAGGACCAGCGGAGAGGGAATGACCCAAGTCTCTTGAGGGCTGTTGGATACCAGGGGATACAGAATACCATGGCGGCCTCTCTTAGAGTGGGAGCACAGGAAGGCTGGGTGACAAATGGATTCTGGGCCAAGTTGGTCTCCCTGTGGGTCACATGGGATTGCAGACCCTCAGGTTATCTCTGAGTTAATGGGAAGGGGTACCCTAGGCAGCTGACCCCACACTGGGTGCCTGGCTCGT